TTTTTTTTTTTTTTTTTTTAACTTGTGTGGTAAAAATGTAGAAAAATGTTATGGGGAAATGAGCGTGAGAAAAAGTGATTTTGAAAAATAAATTTCAAATAAAGGCTAAACTTAACATTTTAGAAGAGAGGGGGAGAAACAAAAAATGATCTACAAAAAGAAGTGAATTGATACAAATTATTAACTTAGCCCTTACATATAATGTATTTTCCTTTTTTAATCATCTTTATGAAATTTTTATGACATGTATGTGTTAATTTGTTAATTCTTTGCCGACAAAAAAGTCATTCTTGGTGTATTTGAAAGAAGAAATTACACAATTCAACCCAACATATTGTTTACATTAAAATTTAACGACAAAAATTGTCCAAATCAAGCCACATGTTTTCTAATACCAATTTAAACAAGGTGTTAAAAGTAGTTTATATCAGTTTTTACCAAGTGGATGATTCCTCTTTTGTTTTGTTCTCACAGTTAATATTTCCTTATATAGCTTATTTATTGTTCTTAGCCTCCATTTGGATACAATTTATAAATAGATTTATAAATTCAACTAGAGTTAAATATTAATTTCAACTACACAATCAGGACTTCTACTAATTATTATCCATATATTTATGGAACCCACTATTATTCTTCTATATAAATTGATTTATAAATGTTTGTGATTTGTGTAGTGAAAGGGTTGTTTGCAATTGACAAAGTATATGGTTAAGTTTAATTTTCAGGAGCGAAATTAAACTAACTCTCTCTCTCTCTCTCTCTAGAGTAGAAAACGAAAGGAAAGGAAGGAGAATCAAAAATGAAAGAAAATTAGAGGCAAGTAATAAAACATTTTCTTTTAAGACAAAATTGTCTCGTAATAGTGCTAACGGATTGCGACACTTGTCTCCCAAAATACAATGGATACAACATGCTATAGAAGCACTTCAAACCACAAGTAACAGTGAACTCAAACGATTTTCTTCTCTCTACAAGAAAATGACTTTTGGAGAGTTTTTTTTGCAAGACTCAATGCCAATGATATATGATTCGTAATGGACGTCGAAATGATCATATCTATAGAAGATGAGAGGTTGTGAGTGAAGAGACAGATCCCAAAACTCAGAAACCTTTAAGAAGGGACACATCCTTTGCTGTCGTCCGCCTATCGCTGACCTCTCGCTCGAGCGTCAGTGATACATTTTCAACGAAAACTTTTTGCTCGCCTGGTTCTGGCTTATCGCTCGAGCAATAGCTTCGCTGCTCACTTGGCGCTAGCCTGCCTTTCGAGGGGCGGTGTTAATTGATTTTGGCCTATTTTCTTCTCCTTTTTCTTCTTGGATTGCAATTTCTCATTGATCCGAAATTAATTTTGAGATTTCAAATATACTACGACAATCTACTGACGAGTAGAATAAATTAGTCTATTTATTTTTATCATTTGACTATCAGATTAAGTTTGAATATTTGGCTAAAATTGACACAAAGTCACTTTTGATAGAGTATATTTAACCAATCAAATTCCAAAAATCTCCCACATGAATGAAAATTTAAATATGTTCATACTATGCAAAAATATGATGCGACGTAGATAGAGTGTGACTAGAAAACACTCTATCAGGTAAGGTAGCTTCCGATTTTGAACCTTAATAAAGTATTATCAAATTTACTTGGGTACTTGATGCACATGCTTTGAAACATTCAGTTGTTGGTATAAACCAATATAAATATTATTGGAGAGTTTTTGCAAGAATTTTTTATGTAAGACTAAATGTCGATGATATATGATTCATAATAAACGTCCGGTCCTATTTAATATTTATAGAAGATGAGAAATTGTGAGTAAAGAGACACGCTCCAAAACTCAGAATAAAAAATTACTACATTAATATATCAAATCACAGATCGTCACATGTATGCCACATATGACGAATACTGTTAGTGTTCACTACGAATAACATTACTCATAAAGAAGTATAAAATGTGAAATTATAAATAAATATAAGCAGATTAACTGTTCCATGTGAAATTGTAGATAAATCTAAGCAAAAATCATTGCAGGTTGTATGAAAGTATCAAGGGGTTGATACTTCTTTTACTTAAAAAAGGCTTAATTTTTAAGAATTTTAAAAGAAAATTATAATTTACACCCCCTTGAATTTTAGCTTATATTTGAGATCCATTTTTCTAAAAATTCATTTTTCAAAACTTATTTCAATCACATTCTTCCATAAAATAATTTTATACGTAAACCTAATTTTTTTCCTTATTTTCTAATTACTCATTCTCTAAAAAATCACTATTCTAAAACACATTTCTCCCATAAATGAGGTCAAGCGGGTGGTTAAAGAGGAATAGGACAGGTATTTTTATATAATAAGACAATTCTGCACGAGTGATCAAAGGCAGGTAAAGAAAATATTTACATTCTGCACGAGTCAAAAATTGATATATGAATCTAAGGGGAATTGATTCTTTGAGAGCTAAATATCCTGACCAAAAATGCTACTTGTATATCAAGAATTGTACATAATGATGTACATCACACTCACATGGGAGTGAGACCCACGTGTATAAAATATTTTTTTATTCGAGCGGGTCCCACCCCTCATGTGAGTGTGATGTACACGCCTATGTACACCTTGATGTACCGGTAGCAAAATCGTATCCTGACAGGTTAGTAGGAGCTTGCTTTGGACATTCCATTCTTGAACAAAGCAGGTGAATTGATGCGGGTGAGCAGGGCCGACTCAGATATTTTTTGTGGAGTTAAAAATTAAAGTGTAATTTTTTAAAAAATAATATAATATTAATGAAAATAAATTAATATGCATTTTGATAGTTTAAAAACATCTTATAATTATATCGTTATCAATATTGATAAATGAATTTTGCTACTTGTATAGTTTTATTTACCATTTCGTTGACAGATGTTGAATTGATGGCGAGTAAATCAAATTAAATGTAGGAAGTAAATGAATTAAAATAAAATTCACATTTTATCCAGGAAGTAAATGATATTTAAATTTAATGTAAAAGTAATTCGAGAGTAATTCAAATTACATTTAATCCGTAACGATCCTAAAATTTTGACATCATATCATAGTCCATGTAAAATTTTCTAATAAAATGATATAAATTATATTTTAAAAAAACTTCGTGCAAAAATAATAAACGTTAATTAAATAATTGATTTTTTTTTTAAAAAAAAGGTGAGATCGACGTCTCTTTTAAGACGTACGTTTGACGCATATTTAATTATTTTCGATATTCATTTGGATCATATAATATGACTACGATATAGTTCTCGAAACGAACTTTTAGATGATGTAAGTGATTTATGGATTATGATAGTATACAATCATCAACAAAGTTTGAAAGTTAACATATTGTCGAAATATTAATTTGAAACGATCTACTTTGATACGTCATAACGTTTCCTACAGTTGGTAGGTTCGTAAGCCATTAACGAGGGAAAAACTAGGTCATGAGGCATGAGCACTTCGAAATGATATTGAGAATGTAATGTTTCGACTTCATTTGGCATCTCTCAATGAGTGCACATCAAAGTAGGTCATAAAGGGATCAAAACAACTATTTATTAAAAAAAAAAACCAAAAATTTTGTGAGGTCAGTAGACCACGTGGGTCCGCCCCTGGTGGTAAGAAATAAATTTTAGTAGTCTAAAAGCTGGGCAAGATCAGCTCTCAATTAGGGGTGGCAAATGGACCCAAGTCGCACACCGGCTCAGTTTGACTAGGGCTTGCTCGAGATCGTAGTGACACGAGTTTGAAATTTCTTTCGTAAACCATAATTTTTTTTTTTTTTTTAAAGAGCCAATTTGTGCTCGGCTCGTGTTCACCCGAGCTAAAGGGTCTAGCCGAGCACTGTTTGTAGACACCAGCCACCAGAAGAGCTCGGACTAGGCATTGGGGTGTTTAAGCCAGCTCGACCCAATACCACCCCTACTCTCAGCCATAGGCTAAAGAACCAAATTCAAAATGCACACACTTTGGAACGAAGCAACAGCTCTTTTATTTTTGAAGAACAGACATAACCGATATCATTCAATTGAAAAAGCTCAAATACTCGACACGAGTAAATGAAACATACTAGGATATTAGAAAGTAAAACGGAGACGGTACAGAAGTTCAACGACAGAATAAGGAACCTGTAGGGGGAATGGAAAAATTACAGAGCTTTTAAGATATCTTCGGCACTGGAAACTGTGAATTCTCCACCAGCCTCAATATTAGCAACTTTCACCTTCAAGTCCTCAACCAGGAGAGCAAACCTCCTGGACCGTGTGCCAAGCCCTTTGTCCGAGAGGTCAAGTTCAAGACCAAGTGCCTTAGTGTAACTTGCAGAGCCATCAGCTAAAAACTTCACATGCTTATTGTCAGGGTAAGTTTTTGCCCATGCCTTCATCACAAATGGGTCGTTGACTGCAAACAAGAAATGAATAAAAGGTCGAACCTCAAATAATCGCCCTAAGTAAAATCATTAATTCTCTGCTACGTCGAGAACAGAAATTGGTAATTCTACAGATATATTTTCAAAGAGCTGAAATAACTTCAGATGTCGAGCCTCCTCACAGTAACAATCACAAGACACTGAAGGACATCACCTTATACGAGGGTCTTCACAATTATAATATAAAGACACATTTGGCATCAAATTTTAATCACACCGTTTCAAACAAATATCCAAACCAGCTGCCCACCCAGTTCCCAGTTCTTTCGATCAAACAATGGTCTATAATTCCAATAAAGAAATCACAGGGCTCTTTAGGAGCTTACAATTTAAGTTACAATAAACAATCTAGTTAAATTGACAAATATGAGATTAAACGCTTGTTTTGAGAAGTCAAAAGGAGTTTTTTGAGACTTAAAAGCAGCTTTTGGATCCATTTAGGCAATTATATGGAAGTGTTTCTAACTAGGTTTTAAAAGAAGCTCGTCTAATATAACTTCCTCTAAAGACACTTCTGGAATAGGGTGTGCTTTTAAAAATTAGTTTTCAAATAAAAATTAAGATAATTTCTTTCAAAAATTCTTCTACGCGAAATAAAAGCAAAAGTAAAAGTCATGTCAAACGGACCCTGAGAAACTTTTTCATGTACTCATAAACCAACTGTGAATCTTAGCTCGTTTTCGAGTAGGATATCACAGTTGACATCACTTGATGAAAATGTATACCATCATCAAAAAATGTGGACTCCTTATGCAGAATAACTACAAACGAATTCTCAATTTAGGAGTACAAGATAATTTCAGACTCTACTTAGAACTTTACCAATTCATTCACATTTTCTACATGGCTAATGAACAAAGATTATGTCACTTTTTCCAATGCTAATTTTGTAATGATAAACAAATTTCCTAATATATAATTTGTAGATGATTTAGATATATAATCAACTTCACGAAAACAATTATTTATTACTTCAACAAACAATTCTTTAGAAGAAAAGCATAATAATGACCCAAACAGTTCAATAGTTGACAAGGTTCAGTCAAAATATATACAAATTAATGTAGATATTTAATCCAGAATCATTAGAAAATTGCCCATAAAAAATGAATATCATACCACTGATGCACAAGATTTCATCGACACCCTTTGACTTCAACTCGTCAGCCTTTTCGATAAACCCAGGCACATGCTTCATGCTGCAAAACCCACCCAAACCATATTAAATAAAATGCACAAAACTAAAACCCAAGCACTTGTATAATCCGGCCAAAATTGACCCAATCAAAAACAAATACTTCAAAAAATAAAAAATAAAAATTGCCGAGCCATTTGGGCAGCGAGCTGCCGATGATTACAGATCGAAAATAACCTGCAAGTGGGAGTGAAAGCACCGGGAACAGCAAAAAGTATGACCTTTTTGCCGGCGGCAAGGGAGTGAATTGAAACGCTCTGGAGTTGATCGTTCTCATCGAAATAAGCTAGGGTTCCATCTGGAATTGAGTCACCAACTGCGATCGGAGCCATTGATTCGTTCAATACAGTTATTGTACAGTAATTTTCAGTACAACAACAGTTATAATTTTCGATGAGCGAGGCAGGAACCACCGTTCGTATATATAGGAGTTCCAATGTGGACGTGAAATGATCTATGAATTCCAGTTAAAGAAATAATTTGGCGTCCGCGAATTACGGGGTAACTGATGGCGTGGCAAGTCTGTGCTCCATATGGCACGACACGGCTGCCAGCCGGCTGATTCTTATGTTTTTTTATGAATGCGGCAGATAATTAGTTAAGAATTACAAAAATGCTGTCAGTACACATTTGGTACACAATCCTCTCACATGTGTGTGGAGTCTACAATGGGGCCCACATTGTGGGATTCACACACATGTGAGAGGGTTGTGTACCAAAGTGTGTAAGTGTAGCAAGGTTCTAAGAATTATTCTATTTGTGTCTAAATATTTGTATCGAAAGTTGTCCATACTCTGAACAATGCACGCGGGCCCCATGTGAATATAAAAATTTCAAAATGTGATCCCCACCCACTATTGTGAGTAGTAGGTAAAACTTTTAGGTAAGTGTAGCATTGTCTATAAGTTAATAAGGACAAATTGATCAATTCTTAGGTTACATTTTTAATACCATAAATAATTTCCTAATATAGCGGCTAAAATGGGTTGAATCGACTTTTCCTTAAGGCTAGGTTCGTTGTAGTTGAATCGCTTTGTCCACAAATATGATCCATACCTAGTCTAGATAATCTTTAAAATTTGAGGACCGATTCATCTCGTAAATTTATCCACTACGTCATTTCTAATTCTCCTTTTCTTTCTCGTTTTGGCCAACTCAGTGATTTATTTTTAAAATTCATAAAGAATTATTCAAATTGACGTGGTTAGCAATAACTCATAATCAATAGAAGTAACCAATAAAAATAAGTATCATAAATTAGACAAACTAATTTCATTGACTATAGAAATTAAGCAAAATATAATAATGAGTTTGGACAATTATAAAGAAGTAGCAGTTCTATCAATCTTTGTTTATTCACATTCTTGAAGGAATTGAGATTCAACTAAGAATGTCGAAAGATCCACCCCATCAGTGAAAATACTATATTAATGGGTAATTAGAAGAAATGGTCCCCAACGTTTACACTTTTTGCTAAAATGGTCCTTATCGTTTTAAAATGGGCATTTGTACCCTTATTTCAAACGTTTCTTGCGGAATTGGTCCTTCCATCCATGAACCGTTAAATCATCCGTTAGAACCTTATGGTAATTTGCAGAATTGGTCCCTATGGAATTTGCCAATGGTATTTGAAAGGGTAAATTAGTCAATTCCCATGTTTTTCTCCTCTTATAATTTTCGGTGAATATAATTCTTATGGTTTGATGTAATTTACAAGTTTAGATCCCAACTTAAAACGTTGTTGGCAAATATCATCCTTAACCCTTTAACCATTTAGCACAAATAATAATTGATGAGCTATCTAGTATAAGTCAAAAAGAGACATCTAACTTGTCTCTTCTTTAAAGTTTTTCAATTATTTCATTAACGCTTATTATTTTTGCGTGATAAATTCTTTAATATAATTTATATTATTTTATTAGAATATTTTTACATGGCATGACGTCAAAAATTTTAGGGTCATTATGCAAAATATAATAAATTAATATTTAATAAGATTCAAGTTCTAATTATTTTTTTCTTTTTAATCCACATTTTTATTTTATTAATTTGTTCCAATTAGAAAAAAAATAATTCGAATTTGAATCTTATTCAATGTTAATTTATTATATTTTGAGTAATGATCTAAATTTTTTTGACGTCATACCCATATAAAAATAATCTAATAAAATAATATAAATTATAATAAAAAATTGTTGCACAAAAATAATAAACGTAAATGAATTTTTTTTTTTAAAGAATAGACGAGTTAGACGTCTTTTTTGAAACGTTCGTTTAATTATTTTCGATGTTCGTTTGGACTATTCAATACGTCACGATATAATTCTCGAAACGAGTTTCAATATGACGTAGAGGATTTGTGGATTTGGCTAACGTACATCATCAAAGAATTTTTAAAGTTAGCATGTTATCAAAATTTTTGAAATACTAGTTTAAAACGGTCTATTTTGACGTATTGTATGTTAAGATTGACCGTTTTGCACACCGTTAAAGATGCGAGAAATTAGACCATGAGCACTTTGAAAACTATTATTAAAATATAATATTTCGATTTCGTTTGACATCCTGTAATAAAATCAAAAACTAACACAAAAATCAGAAAATCATTTATATGTGATAAATGGACAGGCGCAGGGGTAGGTAGGTATAAAGGGCAAAAGTGGTGGGCGTGTAGAGGGAAAAGCAAGAGAGTCTATATGTACAAAAAAAAAACACACACACACACGCAGAAAGCATACAAAATACATCAATGATTATTTGTGCAAAATGGTTAAAGGGTTAATGATGATATTTGTCGACAACGTTTTGAGTTGGAATCTAAACTTGTGAATTACATCAAACCATAAGAATTATATTCACCGAAAATTATAAGAGGAGAAAAAATATGGGAATTGACTAATTTACCCTTTTAAATATTATTGGCAAATTTCATAGGGACCATTTCTGCAAATTATCATAAGGTTTTAACGGATGATTTAACGTTTCATGGATGGAAGGATCAATTCCGCAAGAAACGTTTGAAATAAGGGTATAAATGTCAATTTTAAAATGATAGGGACCATTTTAGCAAAGAGTGTAAACGTTGGGGACCGTTTATGCTAATTACCCTATATTAACTGAATTATGACTTGGTCCCTAGACTTGACGTGACTTGTACATTAACGTAAGGAGGAAGAGACCTTTATTTATTTATTTTTAATTTTGTATTTTTGTCTGTGACTTGACTTGACTTGACTTGTAAACGTAAAGAGGAAGAGATATTTATTTATTTATTTTTAATTTTGTATTTTTGTCTTTAACATTTTTATATTTTCTACGAATAGAACTAGTCAAGGTAAATGAATTAAGAAAAACATCTTAGAACTGGTCAATGTGAAAGGCTCCAATATGCAAATTGAAAAATGAACCAATCAATTTGTTAAAATTATTCTTTAATAAATAAATGCGTTTTTAGTAATTTAAGATTTTAAGTAAAACAATTGGTTAATAATAAAGATAGTTTTACATAAGCCAAATCCAGATTCTGTCCACACAGTCCCAAATGGTCTGTGCATAGCTACGCACAACAAGAAAAAAATATTGAAACTAAAAACGAATACATGTGCATATACACAACACTTTCGCCGTTTCGAGTACTCCCTTCGTACACTAACAAGATTTGAAATAGTACTTGAAAGTTCGATTGTTTCGTCCATGAAAAATTATAAAACGTTTGTAGTGACAGAGATTGACCAACCTTAATCCAGCTCGTGTGGATTGACCATAAATGATGTAGGACGGAAGCGTAAAAATAATATATAAAAAGGTTATTGAAGTTCCGTTGATTTCAGAAAAATATCGCATTCTATTTTTTTATTAATTTTTAAGAATACTAGAAATTTAGGCATTAAGAGCTCTTTAATTCGTGCACGAATATTTATATTTAGAATAGTTGATTTTAAATATCAAATATCGAGAATTTAAGAGATTAAAAAACCATCTTCACTTCTTGCATCTGGAGCCTTTTTTTTTGAAGTGGCATGGATGTCCCATAAATATATTTGGGTATCATCAAAACCACTCAATAAATGATCATGCATGAATTGACTTCAGGAGACCATATCCTTCACTATCATGGCCACTCAACCTCATATTAGGGTTACATGCATTGTCAACAGGGGGCTTAAATGGATGCTTGCTATAATCAAATACATAGACCTCCGCACTAACTGTTTTAGTGACAATAACAAATGGGTGTAGGGGCATATATCGAGCCCCGTTGTCCTCTCCATTATTGATTTGTTGAATAATTTCCACTTGAAATTCCTTAAAGATGTTGGTATTGATTTTACTATAAAAAATAGGGGACCCATCGTAAGACTCATTGAAATACTTGCAGAATAACCTCTATAGAAAATGAACCTCACTCTGATACCAACTGATGTATACAGATGACATCGGTAATGATCATTTTGCATAAACAAAAAAAATATCTCGTGGTGTTGGGGATGTGAATAGATAATTATGCCAACATTTTTGAGTCATTAGTTAATAATTATTTCTTAGTTCCCACATTTTCTGATCCTTACCTCGAAACTTCTGTAACAAATGGTAGCCACAGGTTCTAAAGGAAGTTTCTTGTCCCGTAATACTAAAGGACGTCCACGAACACATGTATGTAAGCACTTTGTAGGACTTAAACCCTTGTAACGAAAGAAAGGATTGTTCCGTGTCAATCTACGATCAAGAAAACTATACCTGCAGAACGGGATGCAAATTGATTTCAGCACCCCCCAGAATGCACCGTCGGATGCTAATCCATATTTCAGATGAGGGAAAAAAGGTTTATTACGAAAATGAATCTCTACAAAATTTGTTTTAAATTTTACAACAGACTCAACCAAAGATGCCTGCTTGCTACTCTACTGATAGATTTGAGTACTCGAAAACAGTAAAAATCAGGAAATGTTTATTACTTAATGACTCCATCAAACAAATCTTACTATTCTGCATCTCCTGCTTCATTTCCTAATTCTGTGTTGCTCGTCTCACCAAGTGTAAACCGAACAAACCTCCTAACTTTTATATTCTCCCCAAGGGCAGCAACAGTTTGCTTTACCAGATCCTTCACCAAAATGCTATCGTTTCTAATGAAGGGCTGTTCTAAAAGTGTAAGCTCGCTAAGCCTCTTTGAAATCCTTCCCTCGACAATCTTCTCCCTTATGTTCTCAGGCTTTGACTGAAGATCTTCCCTCTGCATCTCCAGTTCCTTCTCTTTGTTGACCATGCTTTCTGGGATATCTTCAATGGATACGTACTGCACTTGTGGGCAGGCAACAACCTGCATCGCTAG